GAGAGACTCCGGTCGAAGTCTCCTCAATGGGCAGATATGATTGATAGGTTCCCTGATAGAGCAGAACAATTCGGGATGGAGTCGAGTTCTTTCCTCGAGTGGAACAGACAGCGACACGTCCCTCCCATGGCTAGTCCAGAGATCTCTGGGCTGTTCCGATACATATCTGGGAAGTTCCCGTCGCGTTTTCGCCGAAACCAGTTCGCTTCCAGTAAAACAAACAAGGAGAGTCTGAAGAGTCCGGGAAGAAATGACCGGGCTCCGAAACTCTGCGTCTCCTTGAGCCGTTCCGATCCGTTTCTGAGAATCGAAGGCAGGGAGAACAAAATCTCCCCAGCCTTCTTCGACGAGCAGCGCGAGCGAGATTCTCACTAACAATAAGAAAGTACGGCATATTCACACCGAGAGGGTTGTTGCCATCGGAGTCTCGTGTGCCTCAAGCAAATTTGAGAAGGTGTTCGACAGCCCCCCAGCCAGACTGTCAGGCAATAAACGGTGGCCGATATGGAGCCCAATGTCTCTTATAGAGTTCGCCGAATTCCGCGTCTCGCTCAGTCAGGAAGATTCTATCGTCGAGCTTTTGAGACTTTTACGAGAGGAAAAGCAAACGAGACGAGAAGGACGACTGCGACAACGACGACTTCGCGGGAGCGGCACAGGAGCGCCAACACGAGCCGGAGGATGCGGAGATAGACGAAAGTGAAGGTGGAGGAGAAAGCAACTACGTGTTCCTTGCTTCGCACAAATGCGCGGCCAAACGAACAACGAAACCGCGGAGGCCTACACAGATATGAAGTTTTTATCAAACGTTTCATTCCGAATGGCGAGCACCACAACGAACACGGAGACAGGGATGGAAAAGGCGCAGGAAGAGATCGAGCCGCACCAACAGCAGGAGTTGAGGAGAACGATTGCGAGAGAGTTGACTACGGAACCAAGAACTCCTGATCAGACGACGACGTCACCGTCGCCGCGACGCCTCAGGTCTTCCTCGGAGGATGAGAGTCTGACAACAGAGAGATACCTTCGAAACTCGGCGAACAAACGCGCCAACCCGCTTCGGCATCAATGTCCTCTCAGCCGATTCCGAGGCGAATATCGCGGAGCGCGTAGGGTTTTCACGGGATGGCATGCCGCGCAGATATCGCGGCCAAATGAAGGTTCCAAGTGATCAGCGAGCCTTGGGCAACTCGTCGGAGATTTGCGCAGAAGTGCGAACAAGTAACTCCATCTGCTCCGAAGCGAATCCCATTCCGCGGGGAGCTCTATCGAATGAACAACCTTTCCCCCCGCATCGTTTAATTTTTCCCTGACGAGTTCATTTTGATTTAACTTGGTGTCGTCGCTGGTCCCCTACCTCCTTCTTCATCGAACCTGTGAATTTCGTTCGGGAAGTCGGGTCTCCGCGCTTTACGAGCAAAGGAGTAAACTTTCCAACGATCGGAAGTCTCTGAACAGCTCTCGAAAATGGCTGAGAGCCGGCTGGTAGGACAAGAGGAGCTGCTTTTGTTGTGAGCTTGAAAAACGATTTTCAGTGGAACGCATTTCGAAGGTGCTCCTCGCAGCGGCATGGGCTTTCTTGGTTGGTTGTTAATCGCTGCGTCTCTAGCCCGGGGCTAAGCTAAGCCCGCGATAACGCTACGCGCGCGCCTCCCCACTCGCGCGACACGGGCCCGCAAGTCGCGCGCCAACGACACTGCGATGATTGTAAATAACTTGCCATCTTCTCGTTTATTTTTTTCTCTCGTCCAAAGCAGCGTAGATGCCGCGCAGAAAAGAGAAACTCACTGAGGGTCGTAACACGAGTTCCGAGGGAAGGGTGATAAACGCTTTATACATATTCAAGATGCTTGAAGCGCCACAAACAAGCCCCGAGTTGCTCCCTCGGTCGCTGGTCGATGGAGAATCTAGCCCGTATTCCGTCAAGACCCCGACTAGGATTCCCGAAGACTCCGTTACGCGAATGAAGAAAGACATCGGAGTGACATGCGTCGGATCGCGCAGAAAATGAGGTATCCAGACGAATCTTATTGATTCGAACGCCATGCCTTCTGGTCTGGGTATCAACCGTGCTCATCACGATTCCATTTCGCCGCCCACACACGCATCCACCAATTCAGTCAGTCAGCCGTTTCGACGTTGGGACGGCCTCTCTCCGACCTGCTTCGGCCAATCCGAGAAGAGGGTCGGACTCCACGGAGTCGCGAGGCACTCCGAGGGAAAGGTCCCCGAAAGGGAAGGCAGCGAATCATCCTCGGATAAGCTCTCGTTAGCCGCATAAACTGCTTCTCGCGAAATATGCTTCCCTTGTTCTAGAATTCAAAATTCTCGTTCGATGCGGGACTGCCTCAGAATCACACGATTTTGGTATTTTTCCACCCCTTGCTCTACCGTTCCCTTCCAAGCGTCCAAGTCCTCAGGTTGCAGACTCCACGCAGACTCCGAATCTCTTCATCAGAGGCGGGATGAAACAAATGGCCCATTCTCTGAGTGTCGCATCGTCCGAGTCATCTGGCGCGGGAGTCGGGAGAACATTATTCCAGTAGGTGACATTGGTCAGCGTCATCTCGCATCCCCGCGAACGCATAAAGGAACACGGATGAGAACGGAGAGCCTTCCGCGATGCTTAGAAATTCCCGAGCATGCACCACTCCTCACGCGGAACTTCACAAACTAGACGACAGCCGTGGATAGGGAACCGACGTGCTCCGGGATGAATGAGGAAGCGAAGCTTCATTCCGGCATCGGACCCGCGGTCACTGGTTGACGAAGAGATCTTGTGGGATTTCAGACGACTCAAATATCTTATGCATCACACGAAGGCGGGAAACCTCTTTCGAAGGCGAAAGGATCTCCAGATGCTGAATAGTCGGATCCTCTCGTTTGTGCCTCAGATCTCCCTCGCTTGCTTTATTCTATCCTGATAATCTAATGCTTTCGCGATATCGGGGAAATTCCTCTTCGTGGCTTTAAATAATTCTGATTTGTAGGCCACTCGGTTCGCAAAATCTCATGACAACTTTTCCGAAGACGCAGCTCTCCCTCTCTCGCGAGCTCGGTGGTTTCCGGCTTTCCCTGGCAGGACGCTCCCTACGGCCTCATGGGCGGAGCGCGTAGAAAACATCGACTCCACCGAAAAAGCCGAGCTCGAGCGGGGCATCCCCGAAGAGACTCCTGGCAGTTGAGGCGCTCGAGCACGACTTGCCACCGCTCACCGAAAGATATCGTTCGAGACTTGAAACAGGCATGGTAGGCAGTTCGAAATGAGCCTTTAGCGTTTTGATCAGTGGGGAGACTGGCCCGAGCGTGATCATGGAAAATGATGTATGAGGATTCAAAACTTGGCGCCGTGTCCGTCCTAGCAGCGACCCCGAACTCCCTCGTGTCGATGTTCAGGGGACGGCAGCAGCCGCCTCATTCGGAGTAAGAGAGAGCGTAATAATAATTTTTTCCGACGAGTTTTCTCCGATCATCTGTTGTGAGTACATTCATGATCACTTATCCGGTTGGTCGAGACCTTCGTGTGGATAGCAGGAGTCTTGACGGAGACTTCGTGCATCCCATCATCATGCGTGATGAAAATCGGCGCTCTGCTATCATCTGGAGCTTCATCAGAGTTCCGGAGAGCGGAGTTTTCACCATATTTCCCTGCCGTTGTTTTCGGCCCCCAATATCCACCGTCACCTCGTTGGGTATCTGGGAACAGTTCCCTAGGCTGCACTGCTCTGGATGACTTCCCTGGCTGAAAAGTCGGCTTCCCATAATCGTGGACAGTGACCGGTGCGCTTCTACGTGAGTGAGCGCAGAGTACTGTATTCTTCTCGAGAGTTGAGAATATCGTCCTCTCAGCGTCGTCAATGGTACAATCCCCTCCCCTCCCGTTCTCGTAAGAGGACACTGCTCTTTGCGGAATCAGAGAGGCTCGATCCGATGAGTCGTATACGAGAAGAATTTCCCCCTCACTGCGCGGGAGATCTTCTCATCGAGAACAGGCTCGAAGTAGCGGTGTCGAAACCGCAGAAACCAGGCTTTTTCTTCTACCATGGACTACTTCTAGTCCGGTGTGCCGGGGGTGAGAACATGCCACCGGACCCGCTTAGAATGTAGACGCTCGTACGCTCCACGCGCGGATAGGAAAACTGACTTGGCGCCGCGCGGAGAACTGTTTCGTATCGCTGACAGTCCTCGCCGGATCAGGCTCTGATTCTTCGGTCGATTGACGATTAGTCATCAAACGACGGGCAACTTCGGAATTCTGTAGGATGACCCATGGGGGCCAATCGAAGGCTCTTCAGGTCCTCTACAAGATGCGAACGGAGGATGAGCTCGAAGTGCGTGCGGAAATCCTTTCTGATAGGAGCCACAAGCCCAATAATCAGGCACCGAGGACAATAATATAAATGTGGTACAACACATTCATATTGAAGTTCTGCTAGGTAGCAACGCGGGGACTAGCTTCCAGCCATTATATGGTCAAGCGGGATCTTCGGGAGATTCACTCAGAGTCACCCTCTCTCGATTTTCCTCTCCGAGACCAGAACGCCGGTCAATGGCTTCTGGAGATCACCATAGGGTTGAGACTCCATTTTAGGAGCTCTGGTGCCGGTCGGCGTGACACAACCCTACCACAATCAGTGAGATCTCATCCTGCTCGAGCCGGTTCGTAAATCAAATTTGGTGGTGCCATTCTCGGATTCTACGGCCTCAGCCGATGAGTGACAAGCACACGTCGCGGTCGCTCGTCGTGATTCGGAACTCCCTGGGCTCAATCCGTTCCCGAGCGGTCGAAATTAGTTCTTGAACTCCGATTTCTTCTCACTGGATAGACTCCCTCTCTGCCACGGAGGCCATCACTTCTCTGACCAGAGTGCTCAACCACCAATTTTAAGAGGGAATCGGGTTCCCTGCAAACGATCTCCCCGGAGTTTCCCATCGCTAAGCCAAACAAGCGAGTAGTTTCTTGGTTACTCCCAGGAGTGAGGTGTGGGAGTTGCAGGCGTATGGCGAAATCCAAAAAAGGAGTAGAAGGATTCAAATCAGGCTGGTTTAAAAAGCTGCGGTGAGTTTTTCTCGAGTGGTGTGTATGATCCTCCCGATCTCACAAGCCGATGAGTGCGATTTGGAAAGAGGGTCCTGTGCAAAACCTTCCGACTTCTCTATAATGGGAGCTGAATGCAGGAGATGCGCCAAAATACGAGCGTGGATAGGTATATTGCTGGGAGGTATAATGGCAATTTAGGTAAATATAGATTGGCATGGCATGTGAAAGAACTTCGAATGGACCTATTCCCTCCCGCAGAACTCGGCTATTCCAAAGGGCTGGAGTCAGTGGTGAAGTCGTCATGGCGGAAAAAGGAGTTCAGGATTTCTTTCAAAAGGTCAGCTATCTACTTTGGGCTCCCGAAGCGGGAGATTGTGGTGAATCGGAGTCTCTGCGACTAAATCCTTATTATTCGCGACAGGCGCTGGCATGTCTCGAGGAACACAAGTCGGATAAGCCAGCTGAGCCTTTCAAAAGTCTGTACAAAGCAAGTGAGCACTTCTCCAATGCCCTGAACAACCTCAAGAATCGAGGAGACAAAAGCGAGGCCGCACTTCTAGCCCAAGCTCAAATCTTGTATGAAATGGGTGAGTTGCGAATCTAATTCTCACGGATATCCATTTTGAATGACTCCTTTATCGATTGTTCGTAAGCGCTTCGGTGACACTATTCCGCGTCTCGATTTTGCGAGAGATATCGAAAACTATTATCGCTCCAGGTCAGATCGAAGCATCCACCGAGGAAGCTGGTGGGGGTCAGAGGCTCCTCAAGGAAGCTCTGGACGCGCTTCCGACCTCCCCAGATGAAGTGACCGTGAAACGCGACATTTTGAAACTTTCAATTTTGAATCAGCTGGCCATCATAGACTCAACGAGGTGAGCTCTCGTGACTTCGAGAAAAATATCTCGTAGAAGTCCTTCTTGAAGAAAATCTCAGTGGGATCCCGTGAGAGACTGTAATCATTCAAAAAATCGAATGCGCGTTCCCCTCTTTTCCAGAAATCAGTTGGAGGAAGCCCTGGAGAAGTTGAAAAAAGCGGAGAATTTGTACACTGCGTTGACGGCGAAGTGGAGCACACCCGAAGCGCTCGACGCGGAAGAACACCACTTGGAGTATCTCCTTGGCAGTAAAGAGAAAATCCCAAGACTCTCAAAGTACTCGATCCTGATCGAAGAAGAAGGTGTGTACGAGCTCCGCAATAATCATCGAAAGCTCACGGGAGCTGAAGACCCGCCCGTCTTGCCATGGAATCATTTATTTTTTTCCACAGGAACAAAAACCAAGTACTACATGGCACAATGCTATCAGCACCTGGACGACACGGAGAGATCTGCTATTTATTGTCACCTCACTTTGAAGAAGCAGCTGAGAAACCGCGAGTTTCTGTCGTTCTTCGATCCCGTCGATTGGGCCGTAAGCGCTGCAACTTTGAGTCAGTTCTTCTTGTACAGGTGAGCGCAAGGTCGGATAGCCCTCGTGACGACGAGTCCCATCAGTATAAATGTCGTAATCGGCTTTGACCGATATTCGCCTACAGAGACCGGGCCCCAATCTTCTGAGACATTTCTCGTTCACAGAGATAACTTCAATCTCGCCTTGCACTTGCTCGCTTGTTCGCAACACATGCTGAGCGAGACGAAGGCCGAAACAACCCCCGAAGATATGGAGAGGCTCCAATGGCGGAGTGCCGATGTGGCTCGCTGCTGGATTAAATATTGTGTCTACCTTTTGGAAGTTTCGAAGGTTTGAAGGTTTTCTAGCTTTCACTCGGCGGGGAGCACGGGCTCTCGATTCCCAGACCAACCGGTGGATTCTTCCAGGATTTAAAGAACAAGGCGGATGACGGGAAAACCGTGGAATACCCACCCGTACAGCCGCTCCCCGCGAAGATGATCGAGCACGGAGAGGTCGAAGAGATCGAGAAACGAGTGAATAACAACGTAGTGAAGACTTTCGAAGACGCGCGGAAGGTAAGGATCTCAATCCTGCATCTGAAAATTTCTCGGGGTCGACCTCTCCAAGGAGCCGCGTCTACGAGAGAAATACTCAATGAATACGCGTCGCAGGTGTTCCTCGAGGGTCAGGCAAAAGTCAGCGAAGCGACCTCATACTACAGCTTGCAAGACCGGGCGTCAGACTACGTTCTCGTTGCTCAGGACTCGTCGAAACTCTACAGAGACTTGGCGGCTTTCGAAGACCAAATAGATCGAAAATGCAAAATGCACAAAAGGTACGTACACACCCTCCAAAGTGTGCTTCTCCCCGCAGAGGGAAAGAATCAAATATACTTCGAAACCACCTGAGAAGCTGCTCGAACCAAAAATGTCTAATCATTCTGCCAGTCTCGAATGTTGAAATATTCTCGAATCGAAATATGCACAATATGCATATTTTACTATTTCAGGCGTATAGACCTCCTTGAAGAGATGGTGAAAATTCTAAACCCAAAATATTATTCGGGCGAGCTCCAACAGTTGCACTTCGAGTTGGCTGAGGTGAGTGATTAAACACGGCGAAGCATGAACATGGGCATCATTGCTATGCGATTCGGACTCGATGATCCGATTCTCCGGTCAGCATCAGACATTATATATGCTACGGAAACTTATGTCCGCTTTTCAATGTGATCCAGGTTTATACAGAGATGATGGAACTGAAGTACGCCTCCCTGCCGAAGGGCATGCTCAAACCTACCGATGGTCCTGTGAACAAGATCAACCTATTGACCAGAAAAGCTATATAGTGAGTCCAACGAATTTATGTCTGATGTCTCTCCTTCCTCGCTGCTCAGTTAACCCGGATAGGCGACCGTTGTCGAAGACGCAAGGAGCCGACTGACGTAGGAATTTTTTGCAGCCACTTCAAGCAGTTTCTGAATCTTATCGAGACATTCGTTGTGAAAGATAGCGCCGGAGCAGATAAAATCGCGAAGTATGAGGAGTCTTACGTAAGGCCAGCTCTCGTCGCGACTTTCTCGATCGGTAGACTCGAGTCAAAGTTCATCGTCGGCCACCCACGCGAGCAATTGGAGAACCTCGAGAAGGGCAAGAAACATTTCGATTATGTGAGTGGGGGGAGGAGATCAGAAGCTCGGGGCGGGCACTGGAACTGGAAAGGAGCCGGGAGTGATTCGATTCCAGGATCTTCATGCGAGTTCTCTCGGAAATTCACTGAATATTTCTTGTTCGGGTTTGGTTACAGGTCGACGCCTACATCAAAAAATACCCGGAACATGCCAAATTCGTCGAAGGCGAACTTGAGGTCATGCGCGAATTGATGGAACTGCTACCGCAAGCAATCCAGAACGTTATCAGCAGCACATTGCACTGAGTTCCACGGCTCAACCGGACTTGCGTGCACGTTCTATACATATCTGTTAAGCGGGGGATTCGTCGGGTTTTTGCATCGCCGAATTCGTAATTCCTCGGACGGAGTCCATCGGATTGACATAATTTGACGCTCTTAATGTGAGGCGGAACAAGTGTCAAGGCAGAACCCTCGATTCATTTTCTCAGGAAAAATAAAATCGATTCGACACGAAAACTTTCGTTCGTCCATACCGAAAACGCCACAGCATAAACTGCCGAAAGCCATTGACCACCGAGTCATTCTTTGAACTTTAGCCCTATTCGGTTCCGGCGTGTCAATCGACTTCCTGAGGCAGCCTGGCTACGTCTCAGAGTTTAGCTCTTTCGTCTCACGAGCTGGAGATCGCTCGCCTCAATCGGGTCGGCTGCTCGGCCGGCCGGCCATTAGTACACCCTTCGCTTCTTTCGCGCCCGGGCATAAAGCGAAAGTTCCACTGAGGAAGACACGTGGCTCCACGGTCACGTGCTCTCGGAAGCACTACGGAATTCACTGTTTCGGTCCTCAACTGAAATTAATACTTCTGATGATTATCCATTCTAGCTACTACGCTGACTCAGCTGCGACTTGCACCGCCGAGGCTTCACCTAGAGGAAAGGTTGCCTGGAAGAATCCCCCAGGAATCCAGAACCATGAATCGACGGACATCATCATCGGAACGACAACAGCGACGGAGAGGCTTCGACAACGAGGGCGCACAGAGAAGCGCAAGGTTAGAAATACCGAAAGGAGGGGACCAAGTTCCTTCGTATCCTGGAGCGAACGAGTGGAGACTATGCTCTGTGCTCTCGCTTCAAGCTTTTGCCAGCCTGTGAACCAGGGACCATCGTGGAGGCAGAAGCAGCCGCAGCGACCGAACTGGTCCTCGAGGGCGACGAAATCGCTATGTATTTTCTTCTCCGCTTGTTTCACCCTCTCCGAAACAGTGCAAAGCGCCGAATTCCGGACTAGAAAAGGGTCATGACTGGCGAAATAGTTATTTCGGAATTTCTGAAGGGCTCCACTCGGAATCGCAATCCGCATCAAAATCATTTGGACCTGAACTGTTCCGGGGGGGGGGGGGTGACTGAGCGCCTTAGAGGCTCGATAAGCTCTCCTCAAGAGAACAAATAGACAGCAAGAACAACTTTTTCTGTTGATGAGGCGCTCCAGTCAATCCAGCTTTCGGGAAGAGACGGCAAGGACGTTTGGGATCCGGAAGGTGGATCCATGCGCCGCTTACCTAGAAGCGCAGGGAGGGGGAACGGGATGTCATCACGAATTCCAGAGATATCCTATTCGGAAATCAGACATACGAGCCTCCTAAAAAGCTTGAGCGTAGCAGGAATCCAGTCCGCGTGAAGACGTTCATTTCCGACGTCACTTCGCTTCTCTCAGCGCTTGCCGATTCGGTGACGCGATGGTCCAGAGCTTCGATTCCGCACCTCGAGCCAAGGGATCGTTCCTTCTTGATTTTTTCCAAACAGCGTCGAGCTGGAGTTCTCGCCCCATTATGAACGCCTGCCAGGGTCCCGCTTACCCCGGTTCCTCAGCACTCAAATCTCAGGTCGCCGGATTTCGGGATTCTCCGAAGCAGCAATTGTCAAGTATATCAAGAAAACACGAAATTACTCAAAGAGCTGCTGTGTGAGAAAACTCGATGAGCTCAACGTATATCCGGAAAGACTCAAGATCCTCAGCCCGATGTGTACAACATTTGCCAAATGGAGAAACCGATTGCGAGAGGGTGCAACGGTGTTGTGCCTTCGTTCCTCGTCTGCGGGCGCAGTAGAGCACACGAGGAAAGCGAGAGGAATGGAGCCATGAAGGGCGGCTCGCAATGTTGGTCGGTCAGCTGGCCGCGCCAAAAAGGCAGAAAGAGTGGGGGAACGTGAGCGAGTCAACATGCTCATCTGGCTGCCAGTTATCCGCCCACTCGCCCTAGCGACGTTGAAGAGCGAAGGAGCGACCCCTCCAGTCGGCAGCCCTCGCGCCAAGTGCACCAAGCGACCTACGTACCGACCGATCATCCGACCGGGAGAATGGGGCACCCGTCCTTCGTTTCTCCGTGTGGAGCAGGAGGGACACCAAATACCTACCACCGCTCTCGCAACCCGTTCCCCTGGAACACGAATCCGGGACCCACCTTCTCGGTCCTTTGGAATTTTTCTTCGAGATAGCACGCAACGGCTATGGAGGCGATTATGGCGGGAATTAATGAATCGGCATTTTGGAGTCAGGCTGCGTTAATGGGCTGTAACCATATCGATGATCATGTCGAGTAGCTCCGGGCTCGTAAATTGACTCCCGCAACGCTTTTCATGAATCACTGATCGTTTTCCCTGCATGCGGCGGATTGAGACGAAGCAAAGAACGGAAAAGTTCATTCTCTAGCCACGGAAATCGCGTGCGGTACGGACGCTGCTTTTCCCCCGAAGCCCCGCGCAACTTCTCGGTTTATACTGCCAAAATCCTTCCACGAGGCATTTCCTGTTACCTCAACACTACTACTTGGCATATCCCGCGTCGGCGGAGTTTTTTTTTCCAACAGTTGGAGAGCTCTGAATGCGGCTCAATCAATCTGCAGAGGCGGCCCCCCTCCCGAGTCGGGGACATCATATGCGGATCTATGTATCTTTGACATCTCTCTTCGACTGGATGGGGAAAATCTTGCGTTGGTCGAGAGACTTTGATCCATTGAGTTCGAAAATCATCCTAAAATGAATTTATGTGCTCACCTTAATGGCATCGATCCGAGTCAAGTGTTCGAAGTCGACCATTACCCGTCTATATCCACAAACCATACCCGACACGATTACGATACGTGCGAGTAGCCTAACATTAAGAAATACAAAACGCTCATGACATCATGGGAGAACATTTATTTGCATGATGCGGTCTCGGGATGCGTAATTGTCTGGGAAATAATTAAATTCTTTCTCCTGCGAAATAATTCATCGCCCGGCAAGCGTCGAGTCTGCGTCGCTGCGACGAACACGACGCGATCCACAGGTTGGCGAGCTCTCGGCGCCACGTGCGACGGACTCGCTCGGAAAGAAAGCGAAAGGCTCCGCGTTCTAGGGACCCGTGTTCAGACGCGAAAGAGACAAAAAGAGCGGGAGCTATACACCCACGGAGCGCGCTGAAGAGCGAAGGAGGACCTCTGGACAGACGGTCGAAAACTTTCGCTCCAAGTGCACCAAGCAACCTACCGAGAGAATGGAGCACCCGTCCTTCGTTTCTCCATGTGGAGCAGGAGGGACACCAAACACCCACTCTCGCACCTCATCTGTCTGGAATGCCGCTCGGCTTCTGAACGGCGACTCGTGTTGTGATTCCGGTATTTATTTCGTGATTGAGAACGGTATCTCGAGCCGTTCCTCCCGCTATTCGAGGGAATACGCCCTGGAACCTGTTCGGATTCAGCGCTTCGCGTAAACGGCGTTGTGACCAGCCATCTCTTCGTGTCCCGGAGCGAAAAGTCACGACGGACTCGGTTCACTTTGGCTCCTCACTCTGACATTCTCCACTGATTCAAGTTGATTTGCGGTATTTTTCCGCGTTGCGTCGATTCGGCGGGACATGCGAAGAATCAGAGCGGCTCCCCGGGGCATCTCTTATGAGCCTAGAGCCGACCTGATTTTACGCGAAGCAGTGAGAGGAACTGTCGCAGTCTATAGTCACTCATATCGACCCGGGAGGATGCAAGGTCGGATGCCACGCCCGAGGCGCGAGCTGTGCCAGGCAGTCGATTCCCGAATATAATTCCCAATCGGGCGAGTTTGTTGGATCGATAGCTCAAATATTTATCTTGGGATCGGCCCTGCTGAAAACTCCCTGTCGATCCATATGTCCCTCGCACCCAGATCGACCTGAGCCCACTCGGAGGTCACAGAATTCAATTGGCTCCGCGGACTCCGAGCCTCTGGGCCTAGTTGTCGGACCCCGGAGGTCGCGGGGGCTCGTGACATGATCTGGTCCCGACAGGGAGTCCGGAAAATCGCAAATCTCAACATCATCAGTAAAACTATTCTCGTTCCTCAAAACCCAGAGCCTAGGAGGCTGAGCAGAGTTGCAGGGAATATTCAAAATGTACAACAGCAAGATTCCTGATTTCGTGACCTGGAGGTACGAGAACCGCGTTTAGCTGATAGCTTCGCTCCTACCCGAGATGGCTTCAATCTCATCTTGGCAGGTTCCTTCGGAAGCTCCAAGCCTGAAGCTTGATGAGACCCGGGCTTCGGCAAAATCTTCTTTCCGGTTTCTTTGTGTTCACGAGAAGCATCCACTACCGACATTTTTCTCAAGTCGATCGGCGATATCACCTTGAGTTCTCCAATGTTCGAGAACTTGCCACCTTTCGATACCTGGTCAGAGTTTTTGCAATTCCTAAAACCTCTTTTTCCTACAGGAAATTTCAGTTCCATCATTTTCCCGGGGGTTTCATTTCTCGATGGCATCCTATCGAACTCGGTTCGTCTCGGAGCGCAAAAATCACTTGACGATGGTGTCATTCTTGCCTGCGGCCTCAGCCCCGTGTTTGCTTTCTCTAGAGGCACCCGCAGGATTGATTCAAGCGGAGCCTGCGGAACAATGCCGCGTTCATGTATCGACCTTTGCATGGCTTTCCGGAGGAATTATATGCATTGTTCTCAAACTCCACCTTCGGTTTGTATTTCAAGATCGGTGCCGGGCTGTTTTCCAGGGAAGCTGCTCCAGACCGCGGAGTGCGAGGATGCATCTTCTTGGACTGGAAAGCATATTTGAGGAATGTTCAGGCTAGGGGAAACTTCCTTCCATGAACTTCCCATCTGGTGCAATATACACTACGAGCATATACCAGCATGGTGAGTTTCCGATTGACCGCTTGTCCTGGAAATCAAAGCAGAAGCGTACGTTCAGAATGCGAGAAAAAAGTCTCCAAACTTCGCCCCCGAAGTACCCAGAACGCTATGCGACAGACCAGATGGGTCGACCTCGTTTCATGAATGCGAAATATAAAGCAGATGTAAGAAAAAAAACTATAGTAGAAGCCACTTTTCATTATCTCACTTTGATCGTCTTCAGCGTGATACGCATCGATCAGGGTTGAGTTCTCGGTGCTTTCATCGCATACTTCGATCGGAGAGCAAGTCAGGAACTCTGCAAAGTTCCCGTCATTCTTGTCGGTGAGAGTGCATTCATCGAGGGAAATAATT